TAATAAATACTTATATTTAAATACAACATTTAACATCAGCACCCAAACGTTTATACTTGAATCCAACAAATAACATCATAATTTAACTTTTAAATTTATGAAATAAATCACAAACTAATTTTTTGTTAACTATATTCACTCAAACAACATTATTTTGTATAAATAAGCCATGTGTGTGAGTAGTAATGTTACGATTCAGAATTTGATGCTCTCGCTGCATTCCTGGGAGTTGCTAAGATGAGTTTAGGAGACAAGTACCTTGAGCTTCCCTCTCAAATTCACTAATACAAGACAATGACTTTCCAATTAGTTGAGGAGGCTTTGGCAGCTAGGATACAAAGTTGGAAAGCAAAATCCTAGTCTCTAGCAGGGGAGGAGGTGGTCATTAAGGTGGCAAGGGTTGTTGGCCCGGTGTACGAAACATCGGCATTTCGTCTTCCCGCTTCAACTTGTCGCAGATGTAACAGTCTTTTGTCTAGGTTCTGGTGGGCGAGACAAGATAGGGAGGATGGCATCTGTTGGGTCTCATGTATTGTGGCTTGTCAAAGCAAGTTTGAAGGGGGTTTGGGGTTTCATGATTTTGACTGGTTTAATGTAGCTTTGCTTGCAAAACACGCTTGGAGGATCCTCTTGACCCGGACAACAAGTTGAGACAGATGTATAGGGTGCTAACATCCTCACGTGCATTTCCATGAAGCAGGAAAGGGGTCCAGACCCTCATGGGCATGGCAATGCGTGTTATAAGAGCGGGACTTGCTGAAACATGTTCTCCAATGGCAGATAGGGTCAGGTTTGTCAGTTCGGATACTTAAAGATGTATGGCTGCCCAAAACCCCTCCATATTAGCCATCATTACTCTTGGTGTCACGTCATCTGTTAGGAAGGGGGCAGACTTGATTTGCAATGTGACGAGGACTTTGAAATCAAATCTCCTTCACATCTTGTTCTCTCTGGAATCTGCCCAAACTATTCTCAACCTTCCTTTGCAGTTAACTTTGGCTGAAGATAGACTAATATGACACTATTCAACCACAGAAGAGTACACGGTAAAGACATGATATCATGTTCTTACTAATGAACTAAATGCCCACAACCTCCACCCCCCCTCCCCCCCCCCCCCACACACACACACCCCAGACTGTTTTTCCTTTTGACTGCAGGTTCTGGAAGCTGTTATGGAATCTGCCGATTCCAGTGAAGCTATAGTTTTTTTTTGGAGAGTGGTTCGGCGCTTTCTCCCCTTGCAAACAGTGCTACTGCAAAAGACACTAGTCACCATCCCAATCTGCCTCGTGTGCTCGGACGGCCCCGGAACCTTCTCGCATCGATTCTTCAAATGCCGAGTAGCTCGCATTCTGTAGCGCCTTGCAGGATTTGAGCTCATCTAGAGCCGATTAGAACTTTTTAACCCGAAAGATGCTTGGTAAGAAATTTTCTTCTCTATGCAGTTCTCTAAGCTGCAGATCTCTGATATAGTTTTCTTATGCTGGTTGATGACTCGATATTTGCACATGTTTCCCCCTTTGTTTCTTGACTGTTTGAGCTTTAATTATCGCTTCTTTGGCCTATTTTACTCTAGGTTGTGTTCCTTTGTCACATTTTAGGTCCTAGCACATAAAGTGAAGCATGGGCGCAAGTTTCAAGTCAATCAGAGATCAATTGGCGATTAGGGAGAAGAAACTCGGGCATGACCTGAAGAAGAATTGATTTATACCTCACTTTATGGACAAAGAATCATGCAAGATTGTCATAAAAAAAAAATAGGACGAGACTACGAGCGTCTGGGATCAAACGTCGACTGATTCGGAGTCCGGACGAGGGAGAAATGAAGCATTGAATATAGGGGAACAGGTTCGGCAGTAAAAACACGGGCTGGCCTAAAGAAAAACACGGTCGTGTCCATATTTAGGCACGACCGTGTTTTGGCCGAAGAGGGCTGCTGGGGGCAAAACACGGGCGGGCAAAAGTAAAACACGGCCGTGTCCTTGACTGTGTTTTGCCCAGAATCGGGTTTTTTAGGCAGATTGAGGCCAAAGGAAAGGGAGAGCTGGGTTTTGGATCCCAAACACCCAAGGGACGAACCAAATAGAGAGAGGGCGATTTGAGGGTATTCTAAGAGTGAAATTGGAGGATTTCTTTGCCTTGGAAGCTCGAGGAACAAGCCCGGACTTGAAGACTGATCATCTGAAGATTCTTATTGCAGTCTCTCTCTTCTCTATGGAGTAACTTCCCTTCACTTAGGTTTTGAGGAACCCTAGCTATGTTTGTTTGATTGGATGATTGTATGAGTACTCTGACTTGATAATCTTGAGTTCATTCAATCTATGCACGTTTTCATGATTCAATTCTGCTTTAGTCGAGATTATTGATTCTGCTTTGATCCTATGAGAGCGAATACCTGATTAGGTCAATAGAGCACCATAGATTGATAGTATTGGATCAATTGCTTTAGTCGAGGGTTGATTCACTGCTTTGTATCGATTGAGAACCTCTTTCGTTAGAGGGAGTCTAGTTCAGAATGCCTTGATCGGTTGTTCTAGAGAAGGATACGTCCCTCTAGGCAATTGACTCAAGAGGGCCTTGTTCCTTTAGTCGACACTCAAGGTCTAGTCAAGGATTCTCCGCATTGTGAATGAAAGTGAAACAGGTTAGAGATCATCAATCATTAATCTGGCTAGTGGCTAGGGGGAATCATACCTAAGTGAGTTCCCAACCTGTAATTAGATTAACTTTAACTGTAGTTTGTTAGAGTAGTTTTAGTTCTTCCATCTTAATCTGGTTTGCTAGATAATGAACTGAAGCTGAGTAATAGTAACTCTAGAGAACCGTGGATTCGATATTTATTACTTGAGCCACTATACTGCAGTCCCTTTCATTGGTTACACTTGGCCATTGTTAGGTGTTGTGTCATAGCGAGTCAAGTTTTTGGCGCCGTTGCCGGGGAACACGGCCGTGCTTTGATTTAGGCGAGCCCGTGCTTTGGCTCCAGCTCGACCGAATGACTTCCGAATGCCCCAAAACTCGTGCTTAGCCTTTCCTTCGATGTCTGGGACCTGAAATATGAAAAAGTAGCACATCCCAGCGTAAAATAGGCCAAAAATACACGAATATGCCCCACAAACGGATAAGAACTAGGGGTGCGAACATGTGCAATTACATCATTATCACTAGTAAGTTTGGAAAGGGAAATGTTGGGTTGTGCATCGAGGTATTCAATACCTTGCCCCTGCCTTACTCCGCCAATACATGTCACAAGTGGAAGAATGGAAGGAAGGTACCTCTAGCCCCCATCAACACCAGGAATTTTCCAACTATGGAAGTGTGGACCAACAATCACATGCAACAGCGAATTCCGGGACGGTATTCTCCAGAGCGAGCGTTGAATTACAGGTACCTAACCTTGGCATAGTGGTCCGCTTTGATGGAGCTGTCAAATGCGTTGGTGGGGGGTAGCATGGGCTTCGTTGGTTTTTATTAGAGTGTTGTGCTTATCAGATCCCAAGCTCGTGAAAGATTAGATTCTTTGTCAAAGTCGCGCAGCTTTGAACTTTTTAGGGTTTTCTGAAATTTCTCTCAACAACTCGAAAAATAAAATATAGGGCGGAAATTGCCTTACAATCTCAACATGATATTAAGAGAAGGCTCGAACAATATAATGGTAGCAACTCAACCACAATCAAGGGGAATACCTGATTGATACAGATCTCGCCCGAATGCTGCATATCCACCAACAAATAAGGACAAAATTCAAGAGTAAAAAAGGACTCAATGAACCGAAAAAGGGTTTTTTTCTATTCTACATCAATCTCCTTCAAAACAGAGTTTATAACCCTTTAAAAAGGTCTGGAAAATAAAACTAATGGAATTACAAACAAGGAAAAATAATCCTAAACAAAAAAGTAACTAAAAATTATCAGCTCAAAATACCCTATCGACACCATTAAATACCCTATATGGTATTTTAACCCTCCTAACTGGTGGTCCTTCTGACCCAAATACCATATCTTGAACTTCAAACCCCCTACAGAGGATTTTTCGAGATCACCATACGAATTTTAGGCTGCTCGTTAGGTGCCCAAGAAGCTTCAATCTTCTCATCCAACGCCTTCACAATCTTTTAAAAAACTTGTACTCTCATTCCCAACACCTAGCTTTACTCGAATGTCTCCCAAACAAAACGAGTAAGCTACGAAAGTAGGTACCATGGACTGTTTTCTAGATTTAGCCAAATTTCTAGCTTCTTATCCCTCGACTTGGTTTCTTCTTTCAACATCAACGGGAATGGGTTTGGGTCACAATCCATGATCACATCAGTTATCCTTTGCAGTAGGTAAGTTCTACGATGGCATACATGACATGTTTCTTATAAAACTTTTGGCTTTGCGTGATGCAATGAACTGGTGTCTAACTCGATGTTTTTTGCATGTCAAATTTCTGTGACGATTCACAATTGGTCATCCATCGCGTGTTGGCTGGAGAGTTAAACCATGCTTTGGGAGGAGCCCTTCTTGAAGATGTTGATAGGCTTGCAAAGAGTTTCGAGTTCTGTTCTTGTTCTTTTTCCATTTGCAGGTTTAATAGGGTCGTCCATTTTGTGGCAAAACAAGCCCTTTCATCGAAAATTCAACTTTTATCGACTTCCGCACGTGGTTGCTATTTGTTCTTTGACTATGTGACTGAACGATTCTTTGTTTGTCTATGTTAAAAAAGTGGTATTGTCCGACTTGAGTACTACCGTTTTATGTCTGTTCATGTCGATCTAATAAAATATGTAGAAATATGAAAAAACTTTAACGTCAACTAAATTTAAGAATATATAAACATATTTGAAGACAATCTACTTTGAATCTATATTCATATTTAAATAAAGTACGCTATTAAATCCAAATAAAATATCAAATAATTAGATTTAAATACAACATTTAACATCAACATCCAAGCGTTTATATTTGAATCCAACAAATAACATCAATACTTACCTTTTAATTTTATGAAAGATATCAAAAAGTAATTATTTCTTAAATTATATTCACTCAAACGATGTTGTTTTGTTTAGATGACAAAACTCGATCATACTGATAATATCGATTGTATACTAACTAGTTTCATTACCAACACTGGTTATACAAGATTGAACTGACCATCGTTCCACCACACATGCAAAAGATATGGTTGTGTAGGGAACCCAGACAAACCCACCACTATCCATAATTTCCCAATGATTATGTTGAGTTTCATTAAAAGTTATAACCACTTCTCTTTAATCTGTTGCACTACTCTCTACTTCAGTTTAATCGACGATCCATGAGGTGTGTAAACTGTAAACTATAGTTGTGTCTTGTTGGCGGCTTTGTCCTTCTTCACCTTGATATTTTTGCGAGCTTAAATGTCTCTCTATTCATCCAAAGGAATGTCATAGGGATCAAAGTATACATGTTCATTTTCTGTTTTAGGTTTTAACTCTAGGGATGATTTAATTTTATAGATGTTGCCTAGAATGGAATCGGACCAGCTAGGAAGCATATAACTTTAAAAGTATATCATAGAAAAACTTGATGTTATTTAATATCTATTATGAAAATGTTTTTTCCCACCACCACATAATCATCACAAAGATAATATTGAAAGAAATTTAATTTATTTTAAACAATCCCAATATGTTTCCCTTCTAATATCCTATTTTCTTTCCCATTTCTCATAATATTTCCCTCAGGATGATCAAATCATCTCATTTTCCTTCTTCCTTCAATTGTTCAGGGTTATGTTCAGTTTTGCTGCAACAACAAGAAAAAAGACAATGATAATTTGTTCATGCGGGGCTCTTTTGCTAGAAATTGGATTTACTAATTAATTGAAAATGGATGAAATTATTACTTGCAGCGTCTTTGGCCATGCAGTCAGAGTCGCACTTCATCTCACAGAAGGTGTCGCCGTTGCCGTCCCCTTTGCATTGTTCGACACAGTGTTCATAGCATGGCTTATACTGCGGCCCAGGTTCCATCACCGCCTCCGATACCTTCACCACGGTGGCAACCACCATGAACATCAACAACGTCGCCGCCACCTGTTGCTTATTAACTCCCGCCATGATTTTTCTTATTACTTCCCTTTTTCTCTCTCTTTCACATACACATTTATTTCTTTGTGTTTTCTGGGAACTATAGACGTAGAAAATTTCACTTTTTATATGATTATTTCAGTTATTTTCGTATGTGAAAGTAATTACTCTGTTTAATACAACTTGGCATGCTATTCTTAGAATTGTTTTGACCCAGCAATTCTTTGGCTCAGACATTGTAGCGTTTGTCTATATTTCCCAAACTTACGGGGTGCTAATGGAAAAGAATTAATGGTGGACAAACGTTGACGCCTAACCGGATCGTATTATGATACAACCAGCCAAAAAATTTGGTTTCCATTTCTAGTGTGTGTTTATTCTAGCTTTTCATGGGGTTTTCAACTCTATAGTCAATTGGAGATCAATGAGATTCTTAAATATGAGGTATTTTACAACTTTACAACTTTTACAACTTTTTTTAAATAAACAAATGGATAAATAAATAAAAATTGTTTTTTAAAATAATTCAATATGATTATGCTACCTTTGTTCTTTGTTAATGAACTAGTCCTTTTTGCGTAGACGAATTTATCAAGCCAATGCATCAATACAATTCTAAAGTACATCCAAAAATTTGAAAGGCTTTTTCCAAACAAGTTATAAAAGTGAATATGTTAACTTGTTTAGCAAAAGAGTCCCATATTCTTCTAAATACTTTGGTGGATCATATAGATGGAAACCGAATACTATTGACTTCACCCATAAACATAAACAATTACCATGGATTGATGTAAGGATACAAGAAAACTGCAACGACATTCGTTGAATCAGTTTTGTAATGGATAACAAATATATGGAATAATGCTCGTCAGATACATATGATCGATCTATGAAGAAACTAATTAAATTCTAGATAAAAGACATGCACCAGCCATCCTGTGAGCAATCTTCTTTCTTCCTTTGTTGTAACAAAAAACAACTCTATACCCATGAACTCATCAAACTATTGTAGTCCTCTTCGGCATTGTAACATTCATAAAAAGAATGAATGATATCGAATCAATCCTACGACTAAGATAATTAAGTATGTAAACATGCACCTTAAGGCAAATCAGTCACATAAACCAATGTGACAAGAAGACCTTTTTCAAATACTAACCTCTAGACGAGCTCCACGCAATATTCTATTACGTTGGAATGCCAAGTGATAAGCCGAATTTACAGTATAACTGCCAGAACTTTCTCATGCCAAACTAATGCGACACACTAATCTAGGCAAAAGAATTTGTGCCTTCAAGTGAGTTTTTTGTTGTTGCCGCCTCTACATTCCACTAATTGCAAAAGAGGTTGCATATTGCCAAAAACCCTTTTAGTTTTGATAAAAAGAAGTAATAGTCTCAAGTTTGCGTGTTGCACCCAACAACTCCTTTGCTTGAAAGTGTGACATTTCATTAACACTTCATCACCTCATAGTATATTTGGTGCATTTCTAATCTCCTTTTTTTTCATTGAATCCTATATCATTATTTCTCCATTTGTGATTAGTTGGCAACCATGGCCTATGACCCATACTACACATCTTATTCAAATTACCTAAGTGTTGGGCACAAGAGTCCTCATGACACAAAAGACAAGCCTTATAACATGTAGTGGTCCATCCTAACAAATCAACATATGTCGGGAAGTCACTTATAGCCCATAATAAATAAGCATGTAATTTGAGTTTCTTTATCAAATGGGCATCATATGTGTTTCATCTGTTGTTATACCTAGGAATGACAAATGGGCAGGTCGGGTAATTTATTAAGGGTACGGGTTGGGGCAGATTGATTCATATGGGTATGTATAATTTCAACGAAAAACATTAAAAATATTCATTTTTTCATTAAAACCCAATAAATAAACTATTATATGATAAATGTAAATAAATTATTCAAGATATTAAGGTTCTCGCCTATTTCAAACTTCATTATGACTAAAATTTGAGGTCATAAATGCAAAACCTTAAATAATTTAAGTAAACTTACATGCAACCTCTAAATGGGAGTACCATGTTGTCTAGTGACTTAATATTCCATGTTTTAATGTATGAAACTTCACTTCTAAACGATTCTGATATGTGACATTTTCACACTTTGTGTAGGGACAACGAATGACTTGTTGATTGGTATAATGAGAAAACACGAAATCAATAAATTTATTGACGTCGTTGATTAATTGAGGGGCTCTCCTATTTTTTATACTCATCTGGTACTAATGATAAAAGTTTTTCTAGTGTGTGCTGCATGTGCATAACACAATTGCACGACCTTGTGCACCCCACCAATACTAGTTTTTTATAGCCACATTAATTCATTAATAATAACAAACCAATGAAAGGGCACATATAAAGGGCAAAGCCCAATGAAGGTACAACAAAGAAGTAACAAAAGAGATCAATCCCAACAAAAGAGCCCATATATACTAGTTCAAATGTATCTTTTGTGGCTCATTTGGTTAAATTCTTGGGCTTATCTTTTGGCTTCGTTTATTCGACAAATATGAAGAAAAAAATAAAAAGTGGTGAAACTTCAGGGGATCTTCGAATGCAGCTCTCTCTCTCTCTCTCTCTCTATTGTTAGCGGTTAGCGCCTTTTGTGCAATAATTTGTCTCTTCGATCGACCCTTGTCATCGGTTTCCTCCTCTGTTGGTGAGCTCTCCCCATCGCCAACATCTCAGTCCAATCCTTCTAGCTTCTCTAGTGGGTTTTCTTATGTTATTTCTTCTGTCAATTTCCTTCATTCCAGCAAGTAAGCTAATGAAGTTTTCTATAAACCCAAATTTAATGTTAATTGTTAAAATTTTACCATCCACCACAATTAATTATACAAATTAACTTTACCTACTAATTTCTACATTAATACCGTTTAGTTGATCAAAATGGATAAGAGGATGAAGATTATTAGAGAAAATTAGTAAACTTTCTTTGATAGCTATAGTCGGAAAATAAAATTTATTCCCATTAATGTATCTGCTCGTAAAACTAGTTTTAGTTTGCTACTAACTTAGTTGATAACTTGAATTATTTTAGGCTAGTGCCTACTCATATGTATTTATAGTACTAGTTGATATTATCGTTGACGAAAGAGAAACTCAGCTATATTGCTTGCGAATTTCTTTCTATAGTTTAGTAGTTAATTTATAGTCAATTTATAATTGCTCTTCTCACCATAAAGAACACGAGTAGTTATTCGAGAGTTTAGAGCAATTTATTCAAAGTTCGCAAATCAAAGGTCTAGTACAGAACATCGTCTTGGTATATGATTGTTTCGTTAGAAACAATTATAAGTTACTAGTATGATCGCCATAGTTATTAGCAGGAAAGCTGCCGGTGGCACGTCGTGTGATGAAACAGACGCCGAGGTGTTAACAAAAGGTAGAGTCCCGTCGGTGGGGTCGCCTGCTTCCGGCGAGATTGCCGGGGGCGAAAGTGGCAGGGTCCCCGTGGAATGTGAAGCTGGCGCATCTGCTGCCGCCGAAGCTGCCACATAAACCACAGGAAGTTTCTTGAGCAAAAACTCGATAATATGGAGACATTTTGTTTTTTGACTAATTGAAAAAAATAAAATACCTTGTGGGCTAGAAGGACTAGGTGGAGGAGAGGATGGGCCCAAAATGGCCGGCCCAGGTGCCGGCAGTGGAGACCCAGCAGCTACGGACCAACGAGGAACCTTAGTCAAAATGAACGATTTGGATATGAGGACTGAACCTCTGGGTGGAATAGAAAGTAGTAGGTAAGTAGAGTTACTACCTTTGCAGCGCAAGGGGACGGCCATTTTGCAGGGCCTGGGGAGGGGAATGGAGAGAGGGCCGGCGAAGGGCAGCTGAATGGGGACATTGGCCGTCAGCAAAAGACAAGCGCAGTCCATGCTTGCGGCCACCAGCTCCTTGAGCGCCACGCAGCAGCTGGCGGCGGGGGAGGTCCCGTTGCTACTGCTCCCCGTGACGAAATTGATGCAAGGCGTGAAGCTGGTGACCATTGAAGCTGTGCAGGGCGTGCTGATCATCTGCGCCCTGGTCATCGCTGGAACCATCGTCGTCGTTAGTAGTACTGTTAGACACATCCCAAGCTTGAGTAGTCTCTCCATGTTGATATGTGCCATGCACGAATTAACCACGATGGATAGAGCTGGGCTAGCTGCGTAATTTGGTTTATATTTTGGTGGGAAGGAAACAGATGGAGGAATTGGGTCTTCTGGAGTTGAACCACTAGGTACTAACTTGTTTCTTTTGTTCTTCTAGATTAGGTGGGTTAGGCGTGGCCTCTTGGAAGGAAGGAAGTTAAGTTCTTCTCAAGGATCACTTCAACGCAATTAAGTATGGAAAGTGGTTCGAGCTCTTGCTAGATTTCCTTTTTCAATTGTGCCGCAGGGACATGCAGGCTTCGGTGTTGTTTAAGTGCTTTCGGTTTTGTGTGAAGATGTCATGTTCGGTAAGTGACTTGCCGACGCAATGACTCAAAAGGCTGAATAGCCCTACAGCTTGTGTATAGTTTGGTCATGAGAATTCGCCCTCGGTGTCAGTTGGTAGCGATTGCTTTATTATGATAGTCATAATTTGTACATGTAATCACTTTTTTAATAAGGACAAATGTAATCATTTTATGCAAAAAAAACTCCGTTCAAGTTTAACGGAACTGTTAAGTATGCTAACTATACTAATAGAGAAGATCGATGTAAAAGTTTTTTTATTTTTATTTTTTATAAAATACATTTGTATAGTCAAAACTCATCCCAGGTTCGTTCCAAGCAAGGCCCCTTGGTGGTTTTCGGAGTAGACCTGACAAATTACAATCCGACCCGTTGATTCGACCCGAAACCACCCAAAAAGTAGAAATTTTTATAACGCGCACTCCGAATGATCCGAACCCAATAACCCGTGATTTTTTGGGTTGGGTGGATTAGCGGGTCAACCTGTTAGACCCATCCCATTCTATATATCACTCCCAAAATGATAAAATCGCTCATAAATTGGTGAGATGTTTAAAAAAAATCACGAGGATTTGAATGACATGTTCATGTGATTCTTGTAGTACTATTACTCTTGTGATAGTATTTTGACGATTGCACAATTTGTATTTCATTTCATTAGCATGGGTGGATTTTAGAATATGTTAATTGACATGTTTTAGGTAAACTATTGTCATGCATATGTGAATATCACAAAGAGATCCACTTCATGCTAGAATATGCCAGATTTGCCTACTAACACAAGCACGATTCCACACCCTAAAGTTCTTAACTCTAGAACCCCATTATGATTTTAACAAAACCACAAACCCCGAGCTACCAGATCTCTAGACCGAGAACCATTTTCTCCCACACCCCATAAGAAGTTATTATAGATGACCTCAATTTCATGAAGCACACTTTGCAAAAGTAAGAAGACACTCATCCACGCAGAACGTTAGAGATCACAGATTAAACCAACTGTATATGACCTGCATAGCTCAAAAGTTTAGAATTTTGGCCTCTTGTTCTGGCAGTTATCTTGTCCACAAGCCCTTTACAATCACCCTTTGTGAGTTTGCCATCACGGATAGGGCACCCCGAGCTATCTAACTGGAAAGACACCTAGAGGGAACCCTATCAATGTAGCAATATTCTTCTGATCATCCTATAATAACCACCAAAGAAAAGCTTACTCTTCTTGGATTGCATTTCAGACTAGAAAGACAGTGAAAATCATGTAAAAGCCCCTTAATACCTTCCACAGCTTCTAAGGTGCCATTACAGAAGATAAAAACATCATCTGCAAAAACAAAATGGCAAATGGTTAAGTACTTGCAACAAGGGTGAAAAGGTATCCTTCCTTTTCCATTGTAGCTTTAACCAATAAACATGAGAATACCTCCATAGCCATCGTAAATAAGTAGGGAGAAAGAGGGTCACCATGGCTAAGACCCTTAACACTAGAGAAATAGTGACACAACCAACCGTTGAATGAGACAATGAACATAGGTGAAGATACACAGACTTGGACCCTAGTAACAAACCAATGAGGTATACCCTTTGCCCTCATGACTCCGAATAGAAATTTCTGATTCACCGAGCCGAAACCTTTCATCAAATCAATTTTAACTACACCTCTAGGTGTTATAGATGTCTTATTATAGTCCTTAACCAACTTGGATGCCATTAAGATGTTATCACAAATCAACTTTCCTTTTATGAAGGCACATTGTGAGTTTCCAATGAGTTCATAAAGGACATTATAGCAAGAAATCGGATGAAAGTCCATTCTTTCTACAGAAGCTATCTTAGGGATCAAGGTAAGGGTTGTAGAATTTACCTACCTAGGCAGAATTTACCTTCTCAAAATTTTTCGTCAAACTATATTATCAACATTTCATTGTATATTTCTTTTTCTCTTTAAACGAAAAGTGATAAATATTTAGGTGAATTGATATACCTCGAACATTAGCAACAAGAGAAGAATGACCATGAGGCATTGCACACTAAAAAATCGTTGGGTGAAGCATTGAACTGAGCTTCCTGCTGATAACATGTGATAAAATAACAGCGAAGAGGAACATAAATAATAGCGAGGACATAGAGAAAAGACACAAGATAAGAGTAGAGAGTGTTCTTATTCATCCTAATTATTTGTCCAATTGGGTGCTCCATTTATAAGCGCACTTATATAATAATCACAATTTCTATTATCAATGCACATGAATGTCAAATAGTAGTCATGAACAAGAATCATTCTCATGATCAATGTTTGGAGATAATAGCTCTTAATGTAACATTCAATATAGAATCCAAAATAGAATACAATGGACATCAACAACATATCATAATTTCATATTACTATTTTTTAATTTCTTTTAAGAATATGACTCGTATAACTAATTCGGTGAAAGAATGAAGTTTAATGTTACTGGGGGAAACGTCAACGGTGTACGATTTTTTATGGAAATCTGTATGCTTTATTTAAAGGTAAATTGCAAGGTTGGTCACTAAGTTTACTAAAAAGATTCATGTTTGGTCATTAATAATATAATTTTGTTCGTGGTCACTAAAATTAGTTAAATGTTCCAAATTTGGTCACTATCCGTCCAATTCTGTTAACTTTATCTGATGTGGCAGTCAACTTTCAAAATTGACCGTTAACTAAATGACATGGCAATTAAAAAATAATAAATAAAATAAAATTTAATCTTTTATAATTTCCAACTCATTTTGAGAATAACATAAATAAATTAGAAAAAATTATATAATTACCAAATGTAATTTAATCCTTCTCTTCTTGGAGAAATGCTCCTAGAACCACACCCACCCCTGTCAGAACCACGCTTTATCACCGAGCTCCCCGCCTTCGCCATCCCCGTTGAACACCTCATCCATGTACCACCAATTCCCAACCTCCTCCAGCTTCGTCGCCACAAGATCGTTCATGATCTCCTCCCATACCTTCTCCTTACCCTTCTTCAACCCCGCCAGCCCCACCCGCCGCTGGCTCCCCCTGCCTCCAACCCTTGCGTTTTGATCTCGAACTACTCCGCTAGCACTTTCAACAGCTGCTTTCACTTGAATGCATCCCCATTCATCACGTTAAACACCTCGTCCTTCGCATTCCAACACCACCAGATCCGCGTCGGGTGCCGCCCAGATCTGGTGCTCCGCCATCAGATCTGTGTCATGCACCGTCGAGTAACCTTTCCACGCCGACTCCGATTTGGGGAAAATCATTGGTTTCCTTTGTGCTGACAGATTGAGGCATAAACGCACATATCAGATTAAGTTCATCAAACTGTATGGCGAGAATCCCCATATCTGCCCTGGGCGGTGGACGGGCAACGACAGCGGCCGAACTTGTTTACTCGCCGTCATCTCCTCGAACAAGACTTCTTCTATGGAGTAGTAGAAATTTGGGGGATCTCAAACTGGGCAGGTCCTTGATGAACGTTTCTTCTGCAACGCTGATGGCATGTTGGGACGGCGGTTGGGAGATAGGAGAATGGATTAGAAGGGACGGCAGTTGGGATGGGATATTGGGACTGATGATTAATTTACCCTAGTAACGTCGATGGCACCTGCCCACCACCAGCTTATAGTTTGCCTTGGTTTTGGATGGAGAAAGGAAACTAAGAAGGTGAAAAATTAAAGTACAAACTGGGATTCTGACAGGGAGGGAAGGAGATTAATAATTAGAGTCGAAAAGTAAAAGTATGGAATTAAATGGATTAGGAACCATGGCTTAGTGAATGTGGTCGATGTTTGTTCGACCCGAATCCATTAGCTTTCAGAATGGTAGTGCTGGTGGAGCTTAGTGATAGAGTGTGTTAAAGCAACATTCTAACATCCAGAACCATGAAGAAATGAAGGCTTAATGAAGCAGTGCTGATGAAATAGAGGAGACTGCAAGTCTTTGAAGTGAAGAAGAACCAAAGAAGAAAATGGGAGCGTTTTGTGCTAGCTGTTTATTTGTCTTTATTATCAATGCAGTAGTGCCATGTGTAGGTGACGAACCCGCGTGACAGGCGTGCCAAGTTTTGCACCTGCAAGGCCGTGCGGCTTGCACGACGCCTATAAAACAGAGGTCGCACGACTGTGCGTTGCTAGAAAACCTTCCCCCTTTGCCGGAATCCTCTCCCCCTCGCCGGAAAACCGCGATTTTCCACCTTCTCTGGTCGATTTTCGGCCATTTTTAGTGTTTTTTCCACGAAACCAATTGCAGACTGACACGCTAAAACACAACACCTAACAATGGCCAAGTGTAACCAATGAAAGGGACTGTAGTATAGTGGTACAAGTAATAAATATCGAATCCTCGGGTCTCTAGAGTTACTATTACTCAGCTTCAGTTCATTATCTAGCAAACTAGATTAAGGATTGATTTATAAACTACTCTACTGACTACTCTACTAATTACAAGTTGTGAACTCACTTAGGTATGATTACCCCTAGCTCCTCAATTAGGTCCAAGTTGCAATTACCTTTGGTTGATCTACTGTTGATTAAACCGCGGAAGGTCCGACAGTAGCTTGGAATCTCTTAAGCTGACCAAGCCCTCTCAGTCCAACTACCTGGCAGGCGACTAACCTTCACCGGGATAGAAAGCTGAGGCTATGAACATAGAACTCCACTACCGGAATTGGATTCCAGTACAAAGCAGTAGATTGACTAACTCTCGTATAACCAATTCACCACCATCATTCAAGGAAGCTCTCTTAACCTAATAAGATTCTATCTATCATAGGTTAAAGAATAAATCAAGAGAATTTGATCAAGATTCAATTGACTCAATAAATCATGCCTCAATCGATTATAATCAAACAATATAGCATCCAAAACTTCATACAAGAAAGATCCTAACACATGGAACTAGGGTTCCTCAAAACCTAAGTGAAGGGAAGTTACTCCATAGAGAAGAGAGAGACTGCAGAAATCTGATCTAGATCTTCAATCTCCATCTCCAAACTTGATTCCCGAGCTCTAATGGCGAAGAAATCCTCCAAAATAGCTCCAAGAATGTTCCCAAGTCACTCTCTCTCTCTAGGATTCGTCCCTTGGGTGTTTGGGAACCAAAAACCCAGCTCTCCCCTTTCCTTTGGCTGAAAATCGAGTTTTAAACAGAAATTCCCGATCACGCGGCCAGGCCACACGGCCGTGTGACTTTCCCAGCTGCCCGTGTGAAGGCTCGGTGATTTCCACACGGCCACGACCCACACGGCCGTGTGGAATTCCAGGATGCCCGTATGGCTTGCTCATCCTCTGTTTAATGCTTCGTTTCTCCCTCGTCCGGACTCCGAATCAGTCCCCGTTTGATCCCAGACGCTCGTAGTCTCGTCCTCTTTCTTTTCATGACAAGCTTGCATGATTCTTTGTCCATAAAGTGAGGTAGAAATCCATTCTTCTTCAGGTCATGCCCGAGTTTCTTCTCCCGAATCGTCAATTGATCTCTGATTGATTTGAAACTTGCGCCTATGCTTCAATTCACATGCTAGGACCTGAAATGTGACAAAGGAACACAACCTAGCATAAAATAGTCCAAGAAAGCAGAAACTCAAGCCAAAATGATCAAGAAACGAGGGTGCAAACATGTGCAAATCCGATGTTATCACATACCCATTCTTTCCCACATCTGATCTTCCTATCCTCCCGTTTTTTGGCTGCTTTGGCTCGGGTTTGGGTCGCCGGAGGCGATTTCCGGCGAGGCTCCGACGAGCTACTTCCGGGCAGAATTTCGGCGATTCGTCGCTTTCATTGCCTTCCACTACACCTTTACTTGTGTCTCCATATTTGATTTTGCCTTCTACCTTGTGAATTTTGGAGAATTGTGTGTTAGGGTATTTCGTTAGAGAATCGAATTACATGTATGAAATGTATTGAAATTGGTTGAGGGGAAGGCTAGGGTTGACTATTAGGCATGTTGTGAATTGTGTTTTTCAATCGATAGAGCCCTTGTGTGGTGAATTTGGGTATTTTTCTTATGTTTTTATTCACGCCCACAAGGTGTTCGATGAAATGCATGTTTTTCATACCTTTTTGTGGGGGCTGTTTGGTGGCCTTAATGACATGCGATGAGTGCGTGCTTGGTATGGTTGCGAACCTCGTGTTACCTATTTTCATGTTTGGAGGCACCCCCTCTTGAATAAGCTTCCTTATTTGAGTTTTTCCTATGTGAACTATGGGTGGAAACATGGTTCTATTATGGTTGAATTCAAGTGTGGGGGTGTACTAACCTTCACTTGGCACCACTTTGGTTTGGTATTGTTGCAGGATCATGTCAAAGCCAAATCTCAGGCACCGGTTCATCACCGGCTTGAAATTTCGGCCACGCAAATCCATGTTCAAGAAAGTTTGGAGGTCAAGATGGTCCAAAACTTCTATTGGAGCAAGAGGGCTCTATAGGCCATCAACTGCTATGAATCCCTCGCGGAGGTCGTGGACAATCGAGCTTGGCGCAACTTGCTAGCTCTGCACGGGCGAGTCTTTCATGAGCTGGTGATCGAGTTTTACTCGAATTTTGAGCACCGGGAGACCGAGGACTATCGGCCAGAGGGCGCTGTCATGTTCCGGCTGGGTGGGGAGTACCGCTCCATGAGCTACCACGAGTTTGCTGTTGCTTTCGGCGTCCTGCCACATCCGGACGACGAATTCGTTGTGGAGGAGGCCAGTCCAGCGGGGATCCATTTTCCGACCATTTATCCCCAGCACCCTTCGCATGACACAGGGCCTTTCAGCGCCGGGCGGACTAAGGCCAACACCCTTCGCACGTAGTACCGCCTCCTCCACCATCTGCTCACCAAATCCTACACCCCCAGCATCGAGTCAGCCAGTGCACTAACCAAGTGGTCGGTGTATTTCATGCACTCTATGATCGATAGATTCCATAACGTGCATTTGGGCTCAGTCTTGGCGAACACCTTCACCAAGGGTGCTGCTAGACTGGGGATGGTGCCTTGCACGCCTCTCATCACCATCCTGGCCTCCCACCTCAGCGTCGAGTTCGAGGACCGCACTGTGGGGGGCACATCCCAAGATTTTGGTGAGGCCACTGTTTCAAAGATGCGCCTGTTGCGGGAGTCCCGCGTGGTCAAGTGAGTCAAGGGCCTAGCTGTCTCGGCCATCCCCGACGACGTTGAG